GGTTAAGGAATGTTCGTTGCATTGGATTCTAGTCAGGTCACAGACTTATTATCCTGAGCACATACTTGCTTATGGGGATGAGAAGGCTCGTTGCTCTCTTGTCGTGGGTTCCGGATCTTTCCGGACCGACTGATTGGAGACAGAGATGGTGGAGGTCTAAGCACCACACTGAGTCCAGGACTCAGGTGTGGGGCTTGGAGTCCAAGTTTGGACGAGGACCTAGACCCCTTGACATGAGAGTGGTGGGTTGGTTTTGCTTGTGCCTGGGGTACAAGCGGGGTGTGTGTTTCAGGGTACCCAGCTAAGATACATTGGTTCACGAGTCGCCGTGTGATACGGTACAACTTGGCTACGATCTAGCACCGTAGTAAGAACTAGAATATGAAAGATGGTAAAATGGTTCTGATTGCTTACCACCTGCTTGAAAGTAGCATAGCTGCTTACATAGAATGGTTAGTTAATGAACTAATGATGATTGCTAATGAAATTGAATATAAGGACGCACGCTTAGTAATGCTTCCTGCAGATGCAATAAAACCATAAGCCAGATAGCCTTGCATATCCTTGGAGTTTTTTTTTCCTCCTGAAGGGTAAGTCTTGCGGAGTACAATTGAGTACTCAGAGTTTGTTCTACCCTGTTGCAGGTCATAGGAACATGTCAAGCTGACACTTGTGTGTGGAAATCTCCTGGTGGGCTCAGCGAGGATTTTCTTAACGTTGCGGACATAGAGTTTATTTGAAACTTCCACCCAAAATGTTTTACAATGGAAAAATTTATAACCTGTTATGATGTATATAACGGATCATCATGTTAATGTTTAACTTGTCATTAAATGAATTTACTTTTGCTAAAATTCTGATAACATGGTTATATTTCTCTGTTATAAACAATAAATATTATACTCTGATGTTGTATGGAAAGTGATGTAAGAAATGGCTAAAATGTTGTAAACTTTATTCTCCCATTTATGATCCTGTTGAAAAATGTGGATTTTCGGGTTCTCCCATGGGGTGTGCTCGACAGAACTGTTTAAATTAGCTCACTCTTGGAGTGTTTAGCGTCTAATGAAAGACAAGCACCTCCGAAAGTGAGTTATTTTAGACGGTTCTGCCACACCTGACCCCGACCGTGGCCGTCGTCCGCCACGGCCGCACCCCCGACGAGGTCGTGCCCGCCCCTGTCGAGGCCCCGGTCGTCCCAGCGAGGCCGCGTCTGTCCCCGGCGAGGTTGCGAGCCCCCGGCCAGGCCGCGCTCACCCCTGGCCATGGCCGCCGTCCGCCATGGCCGTGCGGCAGGAACGGAGGGAGTAGGCCATGGGCGGCGCGGTAGAAACGGATGGAGCGGCTGCGCACGACGGCTTGTAGCTCCGCGGTCCAGTGAGCACCCAGCTCTGTCGTGCTGCCGGCTCAGCCCCGGCTGGAGCCACCCCCGACCCCCACGCGCACAACCCTCAGCCATGGCTGAGGGTCAGAGGTGGAAGATGACTCGCAGGGGCAATTTGATATAATCACCATTCTTTCTCTCTCCCGGTCCACGAAAATGAATATTTTAATGGGTGCGGTGTCTAGTGGCAATGAATCACGATTTCATAATGGTACCGTGCATATTCTGGAGTTGGCTCCAGCAGGATATTATACGTTTGTGCAGTATCCCTGAGCAAAATTTGCCTAACTTTTATCAAACTTTAAACCATTTGACTTGTCAAAAAGTGATAAAGGTACCTTTTTGGGGGACCAATGGAGTACAACTTAAGTTTCTTAGAATACAATTTCAAACTTAAAAACATAAAGTGGGTTGTTTGTTTTAGATTTAGTTTTTGCCCACCACTGTTAATACCATTTACAAAGGCAGACAGGGACTTTTGTGAAATGGTCTCTATTAGACTACAATTCTAAGAAAAAACAATATCCAAATCAAGAATAGACATCCAAATGGAAAACACAAACCAAAATTAAGAGGGAAAATAGAGCATAGAAAACACTGGCTTGGAGCGTCGGCCCTACCATTCCCCATTGATTTGTGTTGGCTTCCACCATCAACGGTCTAGCAAGCATGGGTGGACCAGAAAGCATGGAATCTCTTACTAGACCAGCTCGACAAACAGGGAAGGTGCAGGCCGTATGACCAGAAAGCAGGGAATCTCTTCCCAGACCATTTTGGATCTGAACAAGAAGGGCGGTGTAGTAATACGGCCGTGGGACCAGAAGCTAATAAGGCCGTAGGACGAGTAAACAGAGGTCAGAGTACTTCCAATGCTAGAAACTATCATAGTTTTCATAGCTTGAAGACTTCAGCACTAGAAACCATCTTTCCCAATATAAATTTATACAAGTAGTTTCCATGGAGAAAGAAATTTAATGAACAACTGTATGCAACACAGACAAACAAGGATCAGCTGTGCCAAACAATATGTAGCCTTTCTTGCTGCGCTGTATTTCAATTCAAAGTAAAGTAGGTAGCTGCGAAGGTACATCATTTGAGTTCAAATAAATTAGGTAGCAACATTGATTAGTTTAAAAAAATACAATCGACAATAGCAATGACGACAAAACAATATTTAGACCATCAGCCATTTTTCCTCCTGCACATGAACTCCTATGTCCACAACAACTCTATATAGGACAGACACAAACTGAAATCCTTTTCCGCACTTGTGCGCTAGATGGTCTACAAACACATGAAAGCAGCGGACATGCAAAATTAGCAAACGCACTCCCTTTAGGAATTTTATCGAGTACTTGAAGGGCAGGGAACAGCAATCGCACAGGAAACGACAGCTGGGGACCTCACCGTGCTTACAGAGGGAAGAGAACGCAACAAAGACACGAGCACCGGTCTGCCGAACAGACGAACGGACGCCGGCAACGAAACAGGGCGGTAGCAGAGACACACCCCGCGCGGTGCCGGGACAGCCGTCAGTGCACGAGCAGGCGGCGCGGGAAGGGGGTCGCGAGATTGTTGTGGCTAGCGGCGGCGACGGGGAGTGGAGGCGGGCGTACCGGATCTGAAGAAACGACGGAGAAGTCCCCATCGCTAGTTCCGCGTAGTTTCCTACGCTTCGATTTACGAGTAGACGTCGAGTCTTATTTAGAAACGGTTTCTTGCTTTTAGACCCTCTCTCATCAATAAATATAGTGCCACATTAGTAAAAATCAATAAATAAAAAGGTAATAAATAGAGATAGAAATCATGATAGAGTCTACGTTAGGAATTAGGAGTACCCTCATACCGTGTGATTAAGTGGGGCTGATATGCGCCACCAGGGTGGCACTAAGTCACGGGACGACCAGAAATTAATCATGTGTACGGTTTGTTAGTGGGCCAAAATACTGTACTTAGGCCGTGTAAAAAAAACAGGTAGAGAGAAAAGCACACGCAGGTGAAAAATACATGCATGCATGTGAATACTTTTTTGCTGGCATCATCCATATGCAAAAGCGTTTGAAAGTTTTAAGTATTTCATAAATCAAATTCAAAATTAATTCTGATTGCGCCATGGTGTTTCTTGCGATAAATCCTTCAAAACAAGATCTCACTTGGTATATTTAGAAAAAAAATCATTAAATAATATTTTTTGATGGAGATAGAATATTTTTTTATTGAGCATATACCATGTTATTTAACTTCTTGGAAAACGAGAACGACACTTATTTTAGGATGGAGAGAGTAGATGTTTAATGGGCCTAATATAAAACGGTATCTTTGGGGACAAATTTTGTACAGTAAGATGCCAATTTTTGTGGGACAGAGACATGCTGCAGATCGATTCTCATCATGAGCTAGTCCTCCCTCTATATATACGCATGTCTGCATATATTTTGAGATCGTCAAGTGAGCATCTTGTTCTGGGTTGCAGAGCCAAGAGCCACACAATCCCTCACCTTTTCAAGCAAATCTAAACTAGAGGTAGATACATATATATAGTCTTATATATAAGTTGTAGTTTCCCAGGGCCTCGCTTGAAGAGATACGGCAAACTGAATTTTCCATTCAGAAATGTTCCCTGCAGTATATTTCTGTTGGTGCACTCTTTCTTAATTAGGTTTGTAATTTGGGCCAAATGGCCTCTAGTCTAACTGGTTAGAGTGTTCCGGCGGCAGTCCTTAGGTTCTGGGTTCGACTCCCCGTGAGAGCGAATTTCAGGCTGGGGTTAAAAAAAATCATCTCGTCTGTCCTACGCCAAAGCACAGGTCTAAAGACCGGCCCATCTCACAGGGTGACGGTGCCGCTGTGTAAGGGTGGGTCAGGTGTTCGGGGGTTTTCTGGGCCTGCGTGAGAATGTCTTCTTTTTAATGCAATGCCTGGGGGTGGTCATACCCTCACAGGTCCAATTTTAGGTTTGTAATTTGGCTTTATCTTCCGTTTTTATTGGTTTTGTAATGGAAGTTCGTGTTCGTGTTCGTGAGCCGCATGCGGGGAGACCCGCACGTACGGTTTCCAGGGGGATCTGGCAGGCCGGCGCCCACCCGACTAGAGGGACTGAGAAATTAATCGAGTACAAAACTTATCTTCAAGCTTTACCTTATTTTGATCGTTCAGAGGGTGATCGTGGTGTCACTGAATGAAGTCCTCCCTCCCTTTCTTTCCGGGGTGCTGACCCGCTGCCAGACAGATATGACTAAGTGACATATTGAATATGGCGACGACTACAACATGTCGTAGAAGGAGATAGCAACTTGCTTATATAGTTCTTGTGCACTGCCTTATTGCCTTGTGCATGCATGCTAAAGAGATACACTATACTGCGTATATCGAATCTAGTTGGATGTGAAATGGTTTCTGTGGAGATCTAGTAAATCTTGTGTTTCCATTTCTAGGTATTGTTCTGCTTGGTGGTACTGGTATACATATATAGACATGAACAATGTTCTTGCTGTTTGAAAAAATGTGTTCTGCAGCAGTTTGATTTTGTTTCACTCACTGTCACTGATGATAATATTCAATCCCTCTTGCATGTGATGACAAGCAGGATCGGAGGAAATCACTAAGCTCCACTGCTATGGGTTCCTCAGCGCCACTGGCCATTGCGGATATATGCGACGCTAATTCTCACTTACTCACAAACGGTGAGCTTCGTCCCCTCCCACCCATCTTCCAGATCTACGGGAGGAAGAAGGCTTTCTCCGGCCCCGTGGTGACGGTCAAGTGCTTCGAGGACAACGTCCTGGTCCGCGAGCTCGTTGCGCAGAAGGGCCACGGCAGGGTCATGGTGATCGACGGCTGCGGGAGCCTGCGGAGCGCCATCATCGGCGGCGTCCTCGCCAAGAGGGCGGAGAACAACGAGTGGGCCGGCATCGTGGTCTACGGCTGCATCAGGGACGTCGACGACGTCAACCTCTGCGACATTGGCGTCCGAGCTCTCGGCTCGTACCCTGTGAAGCCAGGCAAGAAGGGCAATGGTGAGAAGCACGTCCCCGTGACCATTGCGGGAATCAGAGTCTGCGAAGGCGACTGGCTCTATGCCGACAGCGACGGTATTCTCGTCTCAACTTCGGAAATGACCGCGTAGATATATCAGACAGATCAGTCACCTCGATCTGCTTTTGTTTGTCATTTGTCATGCATGCATATTCGTCATTTGTATGATATGTTGGGTTCTGTTAATTTGGATCTTGATCGATGGTAAATGTATCAGTTAGCTGCTAAAATTTAGCTGAGACCTCAGCATTTGTATTTCCCAGCAATAATTATATATATGCATATCTGTCTGAACTTCCAACAACACCGAATGGTATTTGTTCGCAACTTATGGTCACTATGTTTTCTTACCTTTATGGTCACTATGTTTTTTTACCTCTTCTCTTTTCCTAAGAGGAAGGTGGTATTCAATATTTGCGATGTATGACTTTGTAACCAGCTAGATGATGAAGCAATTTTTGTGGATTTTCCGGTTTGTTTCACCGAGCACCTTTCAATGCACTATAATTTTGATATAAAGTTCGTCTTCATATAACTTTATTTGGAAAAGTTATAATTTTCTTTTTGTACTGCACCTGTTTCAGATTTGAGCCATGTTGCCAACCGCCTTTAGAAATTGATTTCTAGATACGAGTGGAGCGGTGGCCCTATTTTTAGAGTCGTTCAAAATAACAGCTGTCTTTGTAAATGTGATTTTTTTTACATGATTGGTGTTTCCGACCACCTTTACAAATAGAGACATTCTAAAAACGGCTAGAAACATCAACCACCTTTAAAACTCAATTTCTAGTGTCAGAAACCATTTCTAGATACGACTTTATTTGTTCGAGCCATCTCTATGGAAAAAAACGAACATCTCTTGAAATCGTTTTTACAGTAGTATGTAACAAATAATTGAGTTTACCTTCCTCTTAAACTTATAATTAAGATTCGACTCACACTAAGTTTCCTCTTAAATTATCGAAGATTGAGATGTGTGTGAACCATTCAGATTATGCGTTTGGACCCTTAGTCCTAATAGCTAGTATACTGAAATTAGCAAATTAATATGATGGGTCCAAAGAGCCGTGTGCGGTGGAGCAGCTTCGGTTTACCGTCCCTGTGCCAATATGCAATATTTCACCTATGAATCTACTGGCATCTATTAGCAAGCAAGGATCAGGAAGAGTGCTTTTAGTTTCTACTAAAAATATACCCCGGTAAAACTAGAAGATCCAAACACAACCTGAACTGGGACTCTGGGAGGCATGTGAGAGTGAGATTGCAGAAGACTGCTGGCAGTCGGAGCGGGACCAAACATCGTGGGGATTGGTAATTAATTGCCATCGTACGCTTCTTCCGACCGTGACCCGTGAAACACGATACGGAGGCACAGGTGCATACAGGCACAGGTCGGCATACTGATCCGGTTTGGTTGAGCGATGTAGTAGTTCTTTCATTAAAACTAGTGCCACACTAGCATACAGTTAAAAGATTGCACTAATCTATTATAAACTTCCTACTAGTAGTTGATTTAATCAAGCACGGAGGGAGTAATAATATCCTTGTAAAAAAAAAGTATCTCTACATTCAATTCTTTTGGTTGTGCCAGTGTGTCTAGCGACGGGATAACGTTGTCACACAACATGCTTGCATTTGGACATGCATGGCAGGCAGCCAAGGCGACCCATGCCAACGTGACGGCTTGGTGGGCCTGATGTTGTCGCGCTAGTGCACATGGCACGGCAACCTGTCACGATATGCATTATACTATAGTAGTTATAGCGTTTGCAGAGATTTAAAATTTTGTGATTAAAGTATTTTTCATTTAAAATCATTTGGAGTAAAAAACTCAATACAATAATATTTCATAAAAAATAATTCATATAAAATGATAGCAATATAAACTATTTTTACGTGTCTAGAAATTTGTTTCTAGAAGCATAATCACATTAGTGATCGACCACATTAAAAATTACTACCCAATGTTCCAAATTATAGATACATTGCTTTTGCTAGATATATTTAGATGCATAGCAAAAGCAATGTATCTAGATAAAATCAAAATGTATTATAATTTGAAGTGTAAGGTGTAATTTCTAAAGGCACTCAGTAGAGCAGTTGCCTACCACCCTCAGAAATTATTGATGATTGATTTCACCGTTTGTTAGAGACCTGAAGGTTGGAAAACCGCCTCTATAAGCAAATATGATGGTCCTTGAAAGTGTTTTTCAGTAATTGCGCGCTCGTGGGTGTCATTAGTATTCATAAAAGACTTTCCAGGGAAGAATATAAAATGCCAAGATAGATACATGGAACCTTCTAAAAAAATAAAACCATTGCCCATTGTCATAACTCACAACTAAAAGACAATCACTACAGGAAACTGAAATTACCTTGAGTGCTAGGAATTTCCTTGAGGGCCAGGATCAAACTGTTAAGGAATATATAGTTTCCTTGGCGGTGCAAGTGGACTCTAAGGAAACATATATTCCTTTGAGGTTGAAGTAAACCGCCAAGGAATATGGGTGTTTCCTTGGCGGTTTCCAATCACCTCCAAGGAAATGACATATTTCCTTGAGTGTAATTGTAAACAGTCAAGGAAATTACTATTTCCTTGAGTGTTGTTCTTAACCGCCAAGAAAAATACCTATTTTCTTTTGGTGTTATTCTAAACTGTTAAGTAAATTATGATTTCCTTGGGGGTTATTGAATTTTCTTGGAGGTTGGCAGCCAAGGAAATGCTTATAAATATTGTTGTTCGTTTTAGATCTTGACTTTTGACATGAAGCACAATACACACCTCCGCGTCCCTTCTTCTCTGGGTGGCTCGGATGGAAACCCTAACCCCAGCGCCATGCCACCTCTCTGCCATGTCTCGTCGTCGCGCGAGCGGGTCACCGGAGGCCCATGCGAAGCAGTGCTCATGTCTCCTTCAGTAGTTGACTCTGGTGCTCTGACATACGGATCAACTCTTCCCCAGCCGGATCTACGAGGGCTGGCCAGATTCGATGGGTCGACGCCTGATTTTGGCCATATCGGCCCGGGTGACGGCTATGGAGCTCAAGGCACACGCGAGGAGCGGTTGTAGTGGCATGGCGCGTTGGAGACCGTCCATATAGTACTGCGATGCCTTGGAAGCCACGTAGATGAAAGCTAGGACAGTGATGCCTATGGACGCCGCTTCCTCCTTGGAGGCGTCCACCCCGCCCAACCCTATTGTGATTCTATGGGTGAAAACCTAGCCTATTCGTGGGATGGCGATGATGGCGTCGTTAGCGTCATAAACTTTCTGAAGGCATCACTACTAGGACTTTCTGAAGGCATCACTACTAGGAATATCCACTTCTATGACGATCAGGTTTCATCACTGAAGGAGCCAAATTCGTCATAATTTTAGTTTTGAAGCTCAGTGGTGCTGCGGACGGCGAGGAAGAAGATGGAGACCTCTGGCCAGCTCTGGCGGGGCTATACAGCGCGAGCGGGCTCAGCGAGTGCACGATGACAAGGCGAGACTACGCGTGCAAGGAATTAGGCAGAGAGCGAGGAGGCGTGGCGAATTGCGCCGGCGAAGTAGGGTGCTCAGCGGCGGCGGAACACAGAGGGAAAAGAGGGATGAACGATGGCGGCGTGATATAACGAGCACAGACGAAGCGTCGCGGTCGCCAGCTCCTGCTTGGGTCTTGCCACCGAAGCATCTGCGCGTCAGCACGTGCGAGGGCGGCGAAAACGGTCGGCGGCCGTTGGCGGTGAGCAGGCTAACTGCCTGCTGCCGGCGTAGCACTGTAGCATCCTGATCCTCTATCTTCCTCTTCATTTTTCTCTTGATTCCAAATGTCAACTCGATGAACTCCAAAAACAAAAGTTGTTTATCTTGATGTCGTCTCCAACTTTTCTTTAAGAATCAAACTCTGGTTCTCACTTGATTAAGAGATCAAAGGCCAAGAACATCAGTACTTTGAAACTGATCCACGGAGCTTCAGTTAGGGTTTTGGAAAATAATTAGATTAGCTATGTTAGGTGAATTAATTAGTGATCAACCATGAATCAAACATATAAACCAATTACTCAATAACTAAGCTTAACCATCATATCAATCAATGAAGCAAAGGTTGAACAAATTTTACTTATGAAAATTGATTTATTAATTCATCAAAAATTGAACTAAAACACTGAATCTCAGGGACTTAGGCAGAAATTACTAAGTTTGAAAATCAGCCTTGAATCCAATCTTTGGGCTCCAAATTGAACATGTTTGACTTGAAAACTCAAACCAACTTTTGTTCTATATTAAAGAGCATACTTTAAACCACAAAATTTAGTTTAACAAAATTTTATTTGTTTAAACAAATTCTCATATATAAAATCACAAAGTTTCTTAACCACTAATGTTGTTAACATTTCATGCAACATTTGAAACACAACATATGCAACATAGACATGGTTTAAAACTTTAAATGAAACATAGAATGCAATACTTGAAACATGGAATGCATTTATAACTCATTACTTGTTGATTATGCTTAATGATGCTCATGATCAAGTTTTAGTTGCTTTTTAACATCTGGGATATTACAGCAGGCGTAGGTGGTCCCGTGGGTGCAAGCGGTCCTCGCGGACAGGCGCAGCAGCACCAGCAGTCATGAGGCGCAGCAGCAGTCCAGGCCAAGAGCAAAGCCGAGATCATCAATCTCTTTTCTTCACGTACGTGTTTCATTCGGTTTGTGGTTTGTTATACATGTGTGGATTTTCTTTTCTTTCAACACTGTTGTGTCCGATTTTCTATTGGCTTAGAAACAGTTTTTCTCATCCGATTCCCACCATCCTCATAAGTAGGGAGGGTAGACAAGTAGGATAGGTTGGAACCCCTATGGCCAAGAATTAACCTCATCCTCTTTGCCTACTAGGGAAATTCCCCACGGAGAATTGGAGATCAGGGCCCATTGACATCTCTACCTTTTATTTCCCTCTTACACATGTCTACTTATCTAAATTCTTTCCTCATTTCCCCCTTCTCTGAAATGTTTTTTTTCTATTAAAGAGCTCTTATGAAGATCTCTATAATTCTATAAGGAACTACTAGCTTTCAACTTTACTGTCTTTTCTTGCCTA